CATCAGCTGAGGTAGCTAGATTCACATAAGCAAGAACAGGTATGTCTGTTGTGAAGAGAGTATAAAGAATGGGCCCTAAGAGAACATAATGGTGCGATGAAGAAAGTTAGTGAATATAGAACATTATTAGATAATATTAACATTTTTTATGCATAGCCATTAAACATTTTTGGTTATACTTAAATATTTGCTCACGCATTACGTATTAAAAATAATTATTTAAAAGAAATTGTTAATTACTTTTAAGAAATATTTCGCCAAAACGTAAACATTTTTTCAATAGCCGCTTCAATGGCAAATTATTTGTTTTATATTACAAAATATTTTTAAAAATATTGTTGTCGCTCTCAATTGGCTTTATGTATTTGTTTTCGGACAGGCCTTAGGTTTTTGTTTTATCATTTTTATATAATAATAAAATATATAAGACATCTATCTTTATTTTTGTTTTAAAAATTAAACCGTTTATTTATATATACAGATTTCAAAAGTGGTTCTTTCCCATTTTTTTTTAATTCATAATGCTAAATGTGTCCATGATCTTTATAAATATTTTTTAATTTAATTTTTATTTTATTTACATTTTAATATCCAATAAATAAAAAAAATTAAAATATAAATTTGAAAGAAATTATGCGAGAAAAAATTCACCACTGTTACATAAAGATTTCAAGTAACTGTCAAGAGTAAATATGTCATTTGAAAATGCAGAATGAGAAAGGCGCCACAAATCACTCAAAAGAGATCATCACTCCTAAAATCGTTGATAAAATCCATGGTATGGTGCTGGAAAAGCAACGAATGAAGGCTCGTAAGAATGCTGAGGCTGTTGGCACCTTAACTAAGTGGGTACATCATAATCTACATGAATCATTAGACATGAGGTATCCGCGCGATAGGTGCTCAGGTTTAGCTATAAGCTCAACCGTATGATTACTTCAAAGGAGTATTTGTCAGATAACAAGGCAATGACGACAGTTTTTTGGGATATACTTGGTATCATTTACATCGATTTTCTTAAAAAGAGTAAAATGTTCATAGGCGAATATTAGTTAAAGCTTTTGGACATATTCGACAATGATTTGTCCTTCCTTTAAGGAAATCCAATAAATTGGGCTTTCCATTCAACACATTCTCCAGATATAGCCTCCTGCAGCTATTTGCTGTTTGCAAATCTTAAAAAAATGAAAGTAGGTTAAATAAATAAATCACTATTGATACAAATGAATAAGAACCTTGAGGTCCTTAAAAAGGACTCATGAAAAAGGTTTTTAAGGCTCTTGAAAAAACAGATTAATTGAAAGGGATAAAAGAACCGGAAGAAATTTAGAATTAAATGGGTCATGGTCTGAAAGAAGACTATGTTGAGAATTAACCAGTATTTATTCGAAAAAAAATAACTTTTACTTAAACGAAATTATCAAATTATGCCTATATTATTTATTATTATTTGGTACTTTATTATCGCATGTATCACAACTAAAATGTAAACTGTTAATAAAATCGCTTTTTGACGCTACTGTAAATAATGTATACTGATTAGTGTGTTTAACAAGTAGAGGAAGAAGTTATCATAGGCTACTAAATTTATCGCCTAAATTAAATTTAATAATTTTGCAAATCCACATATTTGAAGAAAAAAATGTAAGTTATAACAAACTTAAACAATCTTTTGACATTGACATATGTATGTATATTTTACATTGAAATAGCAGTGGATTAAGAATAAATGTTATATATACAAAATAAATAATACAAAATTGTGCCGATAAGAAAAATTCCACGTAAGTACGCGTACATTAACGAGATGGAGGTATTAGTGTTCGGCTCGGCAATTGTAGATTTCATTAGGTAAAAATTATTTTGATTTAATTGGATTCATATAATATATGAGTTATTAAGTTATGTAGAACGACTACCTCGTTTGGGTGAAACGTTGAAGGGAAGAAAGTTTGCAACTGGCTATGGTGGTAAAGGTGCAAATCAATGTGTAGCAGCCGCTAGACTAGGGGCCAGTACTGCAATGATAGCAAAGGTATATTATTATATGTAATACAGTCAGTTATTAAAGTGGAAAACACAATAGCTTGGAGACGACAGCTGGGGCAACGACTACTTGGAGCATTTACGCCAGGAAGGAGTGGATGTAGAATTTACACAGCAATGCAAAAATGAAGTAAATATAAAAATGCAATTATCTAATTTTTCAATTTTAGTTGTTCAAATTTAATATTGAGAAATTGTATTAAGTTTTATATTATATTATTATATTAAATATTGGTTTTATAACAGCCAAAGTCTTCAATCACATGCGGCCTATTTAACACATTATTTTCATCTTTTTAGACGACTGGTGTTGCGCAAATAAGTGTGTCCGATGGGGGAGATAATTGTATAATTATAACACCAGGGGCAAATGATGCATTAAACGGAGAAGATGTTTCTAAGGCTGAAAAGTTATTTACCAGCTGCAAAGTATGTTGACTTCTGTTGATAATAAATTGTGTACATTCTTTACTACTACTTTCAGATACTAATTTGCCAACTAGAAGTTCCAGTCGAGTCTACGCTGCATGCTCTTCAGGCTTTTAAAGGAATATCGATATTAAATGCAGCTCCAGCTCTGCAAAATACGCCCATTGAATTATTAAAATCTGCGACGATATTTTGCGTGAATGAAAGCGAAGCCGCACTTATGACAGGTGCTTATGAAATAGTAAATTTAGAGTAATTCAACATTTCACATTTAAGAGAAAATTTATTTTAAAAATTAAACATATTTTAAAGGCAGTCAAAGGAAGCATTAATGAAATTGCAAGAAATGGGCGCTAACACCGTAGTCATTACTCTCGGTTCACTTGGTGCTGTTTATGTAAAGAGCGATAAGAAAAATGAGTTTATCCATGTACCATCCATTACTGTGGAAAAAGTCGTAGATACAACCGGAGCAGGAGATGCATTTATTGGAGCGCTGGCGTACTTTATGGCTAAATATCCAAAATCCGCTCTACACCAACAAATTGGCGCAGCTTGTAGAATCGCTTCCTATTCCGTTCAATATCCCGGAACACAGTCAAGCTTTCCTAATCAACAAGATATGTCAATTAACTTAGATGTCGAAAATTTCGATTGGTTCTTGCTTTAATTAAATTGATATTTTAAAGACAATTCATTTGTACTTAATTTATTTATTACAAATGCTATTCATCGGTCTTATAAAAATAAAAAAAAACTAATTTGGCGACAGCTTTACTTCTTTCCTGACTTCTTAATACCTCCACCAACAAGCGGACCTTTTTGTGATGCTTTCTGTTTGGCAGCTTCCATCGCCTTTTGTTGTTCCTTTTGTTTTTGCTTAAAAGCCATTTCGTCTTCGTCCAATTCCTTTGAGTCTTTCTTAGGTGCCTTCAGTGGCTTTTTCTTTCCTCCTTCCCGACCAGACATTTTTAAAATTCAACCTTTAATTTTAAAATAAATGTCTTTAGATATTTTTATTATATTAATAGTTTTTTCACATTACCTTGCGCACGTAACCAAACAGGCACACTACATGCTAAACCTAAATCACCCTTCTGGGGAATTTTATGACATTAACATAAAAAGAGTGTTGCCAATGATTAAATTTTATTATACGCTGGAAACATTTACCTGTGATATAGGAATTTTATAACGAATAGTTCCCTAATATCATGTTTCCATTGCAGTTAAAACTACTTATGTTAATGAAATAAAGAATTTGTTATTTTCATTGGAATAAACTGATTTGTGCATGTGAAATAGCTTGTTTTTTTACATATTACATATAAAACGAAAAATATTGTAAATTTAGGTAATTTCCCTTGTTGGAAATTTACTTTTAAGGGTTGCATTCGACATTTTAGTTGATTCATTTGTAACGCGCCCATTTTTATACAAAACTCTTTATATGGAGTTTTAGTAAAACTGCTTAAATGAGATATGTGGCAACATGGCATAACTCACGGTTTACGTGTTTAATTTTTAAATATTATCGTATTCATACTGTCCGAAAATATGAATTTTTTGTTCTGCGATGTTTGGAATATGAAATCACTTGTCATAAGGTGTTTTTCTTTTGGGCCTACACACGTAGACATAAGAAGTTTAAGTCGAAATGAATCGAAGGACACACTTATTTTTAAATTCTTTTTAATTTACTTCTTTTTTCACAATCACGTAAAAAATAAAATATTTTTACTCATAATTGGAAAGATTTATTTTTCATTTCCAAAACAAATACCTATATCATTGAAAGGGTGGAAAATGTCCTGCGGTATACAGAATCATGTTAGTAAGTTTATATTACGTACTTTTATACATTAGTTTAGCCGCGAATTAAAACAAAATAAAACAAAACAAAACAGTACACTGCTGCTATTATTCGTTAATGCTGTATTAAACTATTTTTTCTACTGTCCGGTTATCTGATATGTTGGGATTTTTATTGTAATTCAATATAGCACAATATAGGCCGTGTGCGAGTGAATTGATGGTAAATTGACGGATATAGTAAATTATGTCAGAATGGCAGCGAATGTTGGTATTTAGAAGAATTTCGAGTAGGTGTTACTATTGTGAAAATTTTATAAGATGTTTAATAAATAAATAAATAAATTTGAAAACTTTTAACCAAAAATAATAAATAGATGCATAAATAAATAAATAAATAAATATTTACATAAGTGCAGTGCAAAAAATCCCCAGAAAATTTCAATTTACTTTACCTCAATTTAGTCGAACTCGCACACGGCCGTAGTCACTATTGCAGGAGTGATTACCTCAATGTATAATATATAATTTCTTAAACCTTACAAATAATAAGTAAAATAAATATAAATAGATGATATATGTTATATAAAATATATTCTTATAAAAAATTTGAATATAATACGAAAAAGTTATACAAAACATACATAATACCAAAAAAACATTAAGTTGGCTGCACTGCGTGTGCTATAACTACCTGGCAGGGAAATTTGAAAAATTTCCACCATTTTTGGTTCTTTTCCGTCATCACTTCACGAACCGCGGTCGTAAAGTGAGTACGCGCTTGTCAACGTCAAGTGGGAAATAGATTCTTCAAAAGAAATTTTTATTCTGTAACTTTTGTAAGAAGTTTAAAATCAAAAAGGTACTGTGCATATTTATATATACATTTATTTAAATAAAAATTGAATTTAAAATATTGTGGTGATTATTGAGTTGTGCTGGAAATGATGTCAATGCCATTGATTTTTCTTTTCCACCACCTTGTGCTAAATGGTTATGTAATGTGATTCGTTTCGTTAAATAAAAAGTAAAAATTCGAAATAGTTAAATAATTTATTGTAAAATTACTTGATAAATCGAAATCAAATTAAAATAATTCGAAATTTAAGTTTTTGCGGCGTTATATAATTATATATTTAAAAATGTGTCATTTCATATCATAGAACGTTTCACATTCGGTATTTTTTTTTTTTTTTTTTTTTTTGAACTTGTGACGGTTTCCTAACCTAAAATCGAATATGTAGTCAATGAAACATTCTCTTTATTTTTACACATTACGAACACATGTGCAATTTTGCTTGTGATCTGCAATGGTTTTTTTTTAAATGACACATTTGCTCGCTCGAACTAAATGAAATTTATAATTGCTGAGAGTTTCAGTGGAAGTAACGCTATAATTTTATCTTAAATAATAGCGTTAATGGTTTAAAAAAATTGCACAACTAAGTTGAGTACGTTCTTGGCTTTCTCTGTCGTCTCTTGAGCTTTTAAACTTTTGCCTTTTTTTGTTTAAAATTTAATGTGGGCTTCGTACTCTTAAAGCTACTCTTTATTTTAGATTTTAAAGTGGTCAAATTTGAGTTTAACAGAACGTGCCAAACGTGGTACATGAAGCTTGACGAAATACGAAATATCGCCTAAATGCATGCCCTTTCGAATTTCATGTATTTTACCCGGTTTTATTTAAATATTTAAAATTTCTGTACCTCGGTATGGTTATACATACAAAAAACCAGTTTCTAGTTAATTTTGATTTTGCTTTTTTTTTTCTTCTTCTTTCTTTTCTAAAGTCAACGACATGTGATGAATTTCGAATTTTTGCCGAAAATGTATTGTCAGCAATAAAATACATATCGGCATACTTGCATTGGTGTCATGCTAAGATATTTTAACGACTAACAGAATATTGAGGGGTAATTTCAAATTCTATTGTGTTGAGATCAGGGGTTAGTTCTCTTTCAGTAACTCATTTACATTGGTGCTGTTTTTTTTTACCTGTTTTTGAACTTGCAGAATTTTTGCTGACTTGTATTTTACATGGAAAATCCATATCTAAAATTATTATAATGCATTCAAATTTTTTTAAAATGGAGTCATCAATAAAGTGAACTTGTTTAGATTTAAACAAAAGGTCAATAATTTGACTTTTAATACTTTGAAAAAAGGATTGCCTGAAATTTCTAGTCCATACTGTCTATAGGTAAAGAAATTCTAGGAAGAACACTATCAGTCTCAGCCATTAAAAACTGCTGTCGCATATCAGACTATGGTTTTTGGTGTAACCATCTCAAGCGATCTTCAAAAATCCAATTCTTCTTCTCCATTCTTTCTAGTATTTTATAATACCGCTATGTTGGATGTTCTGCAGTCTATGACATATGAAATGCAGTGCTCTTCCATGTTTGTTTTTAATGATTGTCATCCAAATCATAGCCAGTGTTTCTTTAAACATACTTGAGTCCTTGTGTTGTACTCGATCTAGTTTTATTTGTATCTCTTCATTTTATCAACTGTGATATTTCGATTCACTTCAAATAAGAGCTCTGTGATTCGTAGGTAATAATGTTTTTGTTTCGTTTTTTCAAAGGTTCAAAACAAACTCGTCAGGTTTGGTTTTATCTGTCGCGATGTTTTCTAAATATCTCTCTGTCAAAGAGCTTTGATAGTTGAAGGTCCTTTTGTATTTATGTAGAAGCGAATGCTGTACAGTGTGTATGTCATATTAAACCAGGACCACACATAATGAATTGTTTTTGTGTAAAATTCTGCAGATTGGACAACCATGCTTACGAATAGTCCAATATGTTCAACAAATTTACTATATCTGTTAAGTAATGGAATAACGTCATTAGCAAAATATTTATATATCTTATGAATTAGTTAATAACCTTTATACGAATTTTCTTAATATTTAGTTCAAGATATGAAGAACAGTTAATACAAACGCACCACTTCCACTTTAATTGGTAAAGTTGTGTCTAGCAAACCTCTATAATTTACAGATTTGCGATTTTATCGAAGTTTTGATAATGCTGACCAGTTCAGATATACAAACATGAAGGGTATTTTATGTAGCAATAGTTTAGTAGTTTTAGTGAACTGTAAAAAGTAATAATATATATGTTGAGTTTAGAATAATAACTAACTTATTAATCAAGTCATATTCTACCTCTACTGTTTGGTTCATAAAGCAATTATGTCTTAAAAGACTAATAAGAACTTAGTCATTGGTACTATTTTATCGATGGTAAATATAAAGAATAATCAGATTGTCGAGATTACAAGTATACTTTTATTGAAACAATATAATTATATATAATATTCTTTATTAAAAGTACTTGTAATCAAATATAAAAAAATTGTGTATCGTTTCTTTACGATACTAATTAATAGATAAATAATCTATTAGTTCTCTCTCTATATTTGGTTTCAGTTATTTTTTTTTTTTTTTTTTCCTTTTCTTCAGACATGGAAGTTGAAGTTGATGAATTTTATATTAACATAATTTAATGATAGCGATAGTAAAAATAGCAATAATAATAGTCAAAATAATAGAAAAAAAGAAATAAAAAAAATACAAAAAGGTTGTAAAAACATAAAAAAATAAAAGTCCAAAAAAAATAAAATAATAATAATGAAAATAAGATTAATAATAAAAATAAGATTAATAATAAAAATAATATTAAGAACAAAAATAAAGAAAATACGAACAAAAATAATAAAAGTACATAATAATATTAATAATGGAAATAATATTAATAATGAAAATAATATTAATAATGAAAATGAATGAATTTTATATTAACATAATTTAATGATAGCAATAGTAAAAATAATAGAAAAAAAGAAATAAAAAAAATACAAAAAAGTTGTAAAAACATAAATAAAAAAAAATAAAAGTCCAAAAAAAAAATAATAAAGAAAATAAGATTAATAATAAAAATAATATTAAGAACAAAAATAAAGAAAATATGAACAAAAATAATAAAAATACATAATAATATTAATAATGGAAATAATATTAATAATGAAAATAATATTAATAATGAAAATAATATTTATAATAAAAATATAATAATGAAAATAATATAATATTAATGTTAAAAATAATGTTAATAATAACAAAAAAAAAACAAATATAAAAAATAGAAAACTATGAAAATAAAAATAAAAAATGAATGTAAATCGTCAATGCAATTAAGCACTATTCACATGAGATATTCAAAATTGTGTACAAATCTGAACCGATCTCTATCTGCTTTTTGCACTAGTTTGTAAATTGACTATATATAATCAATATATATATATTTAAATGCCAATCAAGTCAAGCTGTTGAATATTGCTTATATTATTTCTCATAAATCTACCAAATTCACATCCTCGTCTTAACTAGACTCGAATATTTATTGTTTTATTTATCAATAATGCAATAGAAATTTGTCATATTTGTTTTGGTATGAATCGGTAATTTGTTCTTCTCTATAACAATATGTAAGTTGTTTCTTTTTATTTTGTCTCTACATTTATTGTAATTTAATTGTATTAATATATATTATAGATTTTCTTTCGATAATTTCAACAATTAAAAAATTAAAATAAAATGCAATTAAAAAATGAAACTTCACACATGATAGGATTCAAAACTTGCTATTTGCAATGGGAACAGTTTCAAAGCCAATTTCTAATTTTTTACTTAATTCGAATAAAACTTTTTGATGTGTCCATTTTACAAACGCATTAACTTATTTAAATCCTATTAATCTATGGCTTAATCCATATCCATATAGATTCGCGCTATTGTACTAAGGCTCGTCTCATTGAGATGGCTAGGTTCTTTTACCTTTACCTAGACTCGTTTTCTCTTTGAACTACACCCATACCCATTCTAATATATGTAATTTGTATTGTAGTTCCATATATGTTTCCTGCTATACAGATCTCCATCTATAATTCTAATGTGCAAAGGTGACTAGTAAACAGATAGTAGCAATAAACTGCAAATTTAAAGAAGAAAAGACTGCGAAATATGGAGTCTATTGAAATTAACAAAACGGATCAAAATTATATTTCATATATAATTCAGATAAAACCCTGAACAATGTATAGAATGCATAATTAAATTGTAAATTCTGAAAATTCAACAGAAAAAGTAGCTAGTCTCAAAGTTTTTCGATGGGTTGCAAGGTTATTAAAAATCGTAACTTTATGCTATATATCTTAAATATATTCCATATATCTTAAATATATTCCATATATCTTAAATATATTCCATATATCTTAAATATATTCCATATATCTTAAATATATTCCATATATCCTAAATATATTCCATATATCTTAAATACATTCCATATATCTTATATATATTCAATAAGTGTTATCTTGATAACTACTTATTTATATAATTTCACTTGTTGTTTAATAGGTAGTTGTTTAATTACTTATTAATAGGTTTCTGTTATTTACCTTGTCAATTACCTGTCCTTAACACGGTTTCACTCATACTAAAAGTATTAATTGAACAATTTTTTTAAAAAAAATGGCAAGTAGCCAAACAGTCATTATCATTGAACAGGAATAAAAAATCGAAGAAAATATCAAGATCATCAAATGGGTTCTGTCCACAATTTGTCACTCTATGTGAACTATGCAACTTTGGGATTTTAAGTTTTTTTTTTTTTTGATTCAATTCATCCGAGTTTCTGTTTACTTTTTTTTTTTAATTATAAAGTTTTATTTTGTAATGAAAAACCTTGATAAGCGTACGCAATAGCCTTCATCATTAAAAATAATTCTTTATATATAGAAAAAATAATAGAAGCGAAATAAAACAATTTATATTTTTTTCTATTGAGAATGTAA